AGTGGAGCAGCCCGGATATGAACCAGCACCCATCTGAGGTGCGGGTACCTGGAGGTGGGGATTAGCCAGTTGAGCCATTGTGCCAGCCCCAAACCTTTATTTATTGAACAAATAACTATTGAGTGCCTCCTGTGTGTCAGGTAATAGTTTTGTATAATGTTTAGGACAGAGCCACTGATCTTGACAATGAAGGAGAGTGAAACCTCCTCATATAGACCATCAAGTAAACCCCAAGGAAGAACGGGGATAAGGAAGTCTCAGAAAAAGCACATCACCATATAGAAATCCATTTCACCCCGAGTCTTGTATCTTAATCTCCCATATGTGAATGTAAGTTCCTAAGCAGGCCAGGATCATCTTTCCCTATATACATATTCCTTATATACCTACTCCATAGTCCAGTATAACTCTGTGCAAAGCATTTCTAACAGCTTAAATATCTGAAGGAAGCTAAACTGTTGAACTACTTGTGTTCATGTACATTTTTGACCCCTGAGGAGGTTCGTGGTTAAATCATCGCAATCCATAAATGGAGTGTCCAAAGGAATCTTCCACTTGCTGCACACGGGAGTGTAAGGAGCTCTGACTCTTTGACACACTGGAGTTCTGAAGAGTGGTGCAATAGGCCAGGCATGAAAGGAGATTGGAATAGCTCAATAGCTATTAATCTCTTGGGACCTCTGCTTCTCAACTCAGCGTAAGATCAGGGTTTCCTTCCACCTTACCCAGTAGATGCAATGGAGTTTCACAACTGGTCTGTCTGGGTGCAGGGGAAGAAGTAGCAGCCAGACTATTTATAAACTGATGGGATGAGGCATGAGTTATCCTGATGCTTTTGTTGCTTGTAGAAAACTTGTGATATTTACAGTGTTTGACCCCCGTGAATTGTTCCGTTTGAAAACCAAACAGGATAATAATGAAACACTTTCTTGCATTTTCTATCAAGACAGCACTTTGTGAGTTCCAAATGTTCTGTCTAGATTCTAAGAAGCTGGTTTCTTCATGAGTGGTTGGAATAGGACTTTTCTTAGAAGCTACTGAATATGGATTAGTTGGATTGTTTAGCAGGAAATAAAAAGCAGGCTCTGGGGTGACCACTTCAGCACTTAATTGGGTTAGCAAAGAACTGCAAATGAGAGGTTTTCCTTAGGAGGGAGAGGATGTTTACCGCTCCCACCCCCTTAGGTGGTGGATTTTAACCTAAACGCTAGTCTTCCAAAGCAACCTTTAATTTAGGAACCATTACAAGAATCTATTAGAGCAGAAAATGTCAGGTTGAAAAATTAACACATCATAGGAGTTAATTAGAACCCACCCTCTCATTAGATACAAATAAAGGGTCCTCCAACTGCCCAATAGCTGGCGGGAGCAGTGTTTACTGCCGCTCTCGGTGGCTGCATCCTCAGAAGCTACGCAAGGCAACAGCCCAGGCACTACGTCCTGGGCAATCAGGGACCCTCCCTTCAGGGTATCCTAAGGCCCTATTCACTGGTCCCTATTTTTTCCCCTGAGAATCCTTCCATGCTCAGCCACAGAGTGGATATCTCTCTGCCTGGAACTCCCTCAGGGAAGTGTGTTCCCTAACAAAAAAGCACCCCGCGAGGGAGGGCGGCAGGGGGCTGAAGGGCTCCAGGCCATTCAGACTCAGCTCTAAGTTGTGGTCTTTGTTTTCTTTCCACAGTCACACTGAAATGTGATTCTGGCTTTTTTTTTTTTTTTTTTTTTTTTTTTTTTTTGCTTTAAAATACCTGCGATGAGTTCCATGCCTAGAAAGAAAAGCTGTTGACAGGAAAAGCTTCTGACGGGAAGGGCTTCTTCAAGTGTTCTCAAAGGAGACGGGGCTGATTCTAACAAGCTGAGGCAGGGACGCCAGGTTCGGATCACAAAAGGGTCATCTTTGACTATGGATTAGGCAAGGTGTGAGGCAGCTTCCTCTGTCAGGGCAGTAACATGCACACACAGCCTAGGACTAAGTAGATCTGCACCTGAGTCTCCTTCTCCTACTTACTGTGCCATCTTGGGCAAACAGCTTGACAGCTCAGAACATTAGTTTTCTCAATTTGGTGATGAAATAAAATAATTACTGTGAGGAATGGGACACGGAATCTGGCACTGACTAAGCATCCGTGTGAGTTGTTCTTGGTTTGATAGTAGCATTCCTTCATGAAGCGCTAATGATGCCCCCCTCCATGTGCCAGGTTTTCTGTGGACGCCAGGTCTTCCCACTTGACCTCATGGAGCTCACGATTAACCATGTCAATATTTCTTCAGCACCATGCATACCCCTTGCCCATCCTGTTCAAGGAGAAGTGCCTAGCACACACTAATGCTGAGTGGCTCAGAATCCTGCAGGTCTTCCACCTCAGAGGAGTCCTTCGAGCCACCCACTGGACCTTAAATGTAGCCACAATTTTCTGTGCATTTGCTACGCTGAGTCACTACTGTTCATTCTTTGTCTCCTGTGTGGTCCTAGAAGGAGAACATCTATTCATCTGATTTATTTGTCTCTGCAGCCTAGATGATTTAATAGATCATTTGATCTGTTCATCAGATCATTTATTCATCTCTGCAGGCCAATGAGCTCATGTCTTACTCAGTGCAGGCACACAGAAGATTCAGCTCGACTTCTGAGAACATTGATTTCCAGCCAGGAATTTTTCCTGGAGAAATAAACTTGCCTTCCATCGTTGGAGGGCTTCCCTTGGGCCCCGATGTGGTTGGTCCAGTCGTTTTCTCTTATTTCGGTTCAAGCTTCATTTTCCTAATTTCTTCAGGAGTCCACCAGAGCCCCCGTTGCCAGGAGATTATGATGATAAGCACAGACAATGCAGCTTCCTTATGCCCAACATAGACCAGGCACAGAGCCAAACACTCCAAAAGCAGTTGACTTCATTCCTACCTCAGCCAGGTCTAGTTGGCTGGAAACTAAAGTGGTGAGCATTTGGCATGGTGGTGAAGGTGTCTCTCGGGATACTTGTATCCCATAGCAGAGTACCTGGATTTAAGGTCTGGCTCTGTCTCAATTCTAGCTTCTAGTGAATAGCCACCAGATGATACTTCAAATATTTGGACCTCTGCCAATCATGTAGGTCACCCAGACTGAGGTCCTAGCTTCTGGCATCAGGCAGGCCCAGTCCTGGCTGTAGTGGGGAATTGGGGAATAAACCAGCCAACAAGAAATTTCTTTCCTTGTCTCTGCCTCCCCTGGACATCCAGCCAACTTGTATCTAACCCCTGAGATGGAGCAGAATCGGCTGCTTAAAACACGTGGGCATTTGGGTTAAAACACGTGGGCATTTGGGTTGAAGTCCAGGCTCTGTTCTTCATGCCAACTCTCCCCTCAATGTATATCTGGCAGAGAGTAATGGTTCAAGAAGTAAAGGCCCCACCACCCACCTGGGAGAAATGGACCGAGTTCCAGGCTCTTCTTGCCTTTATTTGTCTGGCATTTAGGAAGTGAACCAGTTGATGGGAGATTTCTCTCTCTCTCTCTCTGCCCATCAAGTAAATAAAATTTGTAACAATTTAAACAAGACAGTCCAGGAAAACAGTGGCAAGTGCTAGACTAAAAGATTCGGCAAGAGAAGAGAAATCGCTTTAGCCTGATCTTCCGACTCAGACTGCTGATGTCTTTAGCACCAGGCTGAAAGGCAGGGAACTGTAAAGTAAGTGACAAGTGACGTCCCTGAGCTGTTCCAGGAAAGAACAAAAGCCATGGAGTTATTCAGCAAGTACTAGGTGCCAGACACTGTGCTAAATGATTTACAGGAATTACCACTCTTGGAACAACTGTGTGAGATAGTCATGAAATTCCCTACTTCGCATATGGCCAGTGATTCTCAGAGGCACAGGACTGCAGGGGGTCAGGAATCCACCTGCTAGCAGTTTCACTGATCAACTGGAAAGCAGAGCATTGGAGTGTACCGGTCACAGCCCCTGGGGGCGGGCCATGTGAGACAGGAAAGTTGCATTGGAACCCAAGTCGCAAAATCTCCCTAGGTAGACAGACCCTTGATCAGGCTGAAAGGGGCGTAGGGCTGCTGGGGAGCAGTCTGGTTGTTGGGAGCCTTCCTCGCACACAGTGCACAGGTCAAGCCTCTCCCCTCCCGCCGTCTCACCCTCCCAACCTTATTTAGAAACCGTGTCCCCGAGACAGGAAGGGCGGCGGGCCGAGAGGCACGGAGCGTCCCGGTCTCATTTCCTTTCGAATCCCCCTGTGGAATTTCATTTCATACGGCGAGGAAATCGGAGCGCAAGACCGCCGGCTGCCGGCTGCTCCGGGGCGCCTCCCCCACTCGCGGCTGGAGACAGGCAGCTCCCGGGCGCAGGTCGCGGCGAGGCGGGGAGAGGGAAGAGGGGGTGCGCTCCCACCGCTGCACGCTGCCCTTGAACCCAGCTGCCAACTCGGCCGTGCCAGGCACGGTGCGGGGAGCTTCGCGCCTTCTCTCCAACTCGCCAAGTTACACCGCGGACGGGGGAGCAGATGCCCAGAGGTGGGGCAGTTTGCTCAAGGTCACACAGTTGGAATTTAAAGCCACAATCGGTGTGAATCCAGCTCCCGCGTCCTTTGTGTAGGTCTCCCTCTGCTCAGGAAGGAGCTGGGGCGCGGGAGGATGGGGGAGGAAGGTGGCCTTCGGACCAGGTGACAGCTGTGACGAAAGGGAGAATTGAACCCGGGGCACTTCTCACCTGGGAGAGGAGGGGGCAGACTGGCCAGGCGGGGAGCGGCTCGGCTCCATCCCCGCCTGGCCCAGCCGCTCCCCGCCTGGCCCGCAGCTCCGGGGTCCGGGTGGGAGGGAAGCCAGCGCCGGGAAGCGGGGCGGGGCGCGCGGGGAGGGCGGGCCGAGGGCGCCGGCGGGCGGGGGCCTGACCCTTGCCGCGGGAGAGCGGCCCGCCCGCCGCCACGCCCCTCGCCGCCCAGGGCGCAGGGCCATTGGAGAGGTGCGTGGTCCCGCGCCGCCCCCGCCCAGCGAACCTCCAGCGCCGCCGAGGGCTGGGGCGGTGAGAGCGGCGCGGCGCTGGTGCTGGCGGGCTTCGCGGGGAGACTCCGGGCGGACGCGGCCGGCGCCGGCTTGTGGGCTCTCCGCCTGCAGCCATGACCCTCGCAGTGTGTTCCCGAGCCGTCTAATAATCCCGCACGGTCGAGCGCGGCTGCCTGGAGAGCCCGGCAGCCCTTTTCCTTCGCAGCCCTTGGTGTCTTATCGCACTCCCTGTCCCGGAGCTGGGAGCCAGCGCGGGCAGCCGGCGTCCCCGTGCAAACTGGGGGTATCTGCTGAAGCCGCCCGCGCCGCTGCTGCCCCGGTCTCTGGCCATGGCCTGGCGGGGCGCAGGGCCGAGCGCCCCGGGGGCGCCTGGGGGCGCCGGACTCCGCCTGGGGTTGCTGCTGCTGCTGCAGTTGCTGGGGCCGGCGCGGGGATTCGGAGACGAGGAGGAGCGGCGCTGCGACCCCATCCGCATTTCCATGTGCCAGAACCTGGGCTACAACGTGACCAAGATGCCCAACTTGGTGGGGCACGAGCTGCAGACGGACGCCGAGCTGCAGCTGACAACTTTCACGCCGCTTATCCAGTACGGCTGCTCCAGCCAGCTGCAGGTGGGTACCCCACCCCCACTCCTGGCGGGACCCTTTGGGCAGGGTCGCCCCGAAAATCACTTCGTGGAGCCCTTGCTAAACGTGTTTCCCCGTTCCGCCCCCCAACTTCCTAGCCCGAGAGGTATCACTGTCCTGGAAAAGTGGTTTCCACTCTCCCCCCCCCACCCCCACTTTTCTGTCCCTTCTCCGAGACTGGAAGCGAAAGAGTTGTGTAAGTCATTTGGCCTCTAAAAAGAACCCTCTCTCACACCCCACCCTTCCGTTCTTCTTCTCTGCCCACCCATGTCTGGCCAAGCCCCTAACCCCAGTGGAACTTAAGGGTTATCTTTGCCAGGGATTCCAGCCGCCGTGGCTCGCTGGGCGAGTCCTACAGAGCCGCCAGCTGCTGTTAAGACTTGGAAGGAAAGAGAAGGGAACTTCTGCCTAACCCGGTCTGTCAGTGGCCCGCTCTCTCCCCCCGTGTTTTGGGGGTGGGTTGTTAAGTGAAACTCCACGGTTTGGTCCTCTGTAGAATCCCCTCCCTCTCTCCCTCCCACGCGGTGTAGGAGGTCACGCAGGAAGGAACGGTAGGCTTGGCTGGAGTGCTCCTTACTCCCCGGCGTGGAGGCAGGATTAGTGCTGGAGGAAGAGTGAAAGCTATAGGAAGGAGTCGTCCCCCCCCCCCGCCTTTTTTTTTTCAAGTCCTTACAAATCTTAAAGCTTATGTGATGATAAATGGTTCATCCTACAATAGTGAATGGAGGAAGAATTTGCATTATACAAGGTGATTATAATCTTGCAAAAACAAACACTGAAACAACATCCAGATCCAGGGGGGTGGGCGTGGGATGGAGGCTGGGTGTGAGGAGGTGGAGAAGATGGCTAGATAAATTTTGGTAGTGTTAACACTGGTGTTGGTTGGTGAGGCCGAGTGATTTTTAGATATTTAGAAAAGAGCAATGGGGGAGGGGAGGTGGCATGTGAGGACCCGTGGTGAGTTACTCTGGTTAAAAGCTTCAGAAATCTGTGGTTGTGGCTGTAACATCTGAGAGATAAGAAACAGAACTGCAGCTCACTTACTAGGTGCCTGATTTTCCATAGGTCATTTTAACAAGTTGGATTGTAGTTTTTGGAAAGAAGAGGTTGTGATTAGACCTGTTGCTGGTGAACTGTCCCTTTGCAAGTTTCAGGACTTTAGAGCCGAATCCTAAAAGCTTAAGAACTGGTCCCTCCAGCTCTCGGTTTAGAAACAGCACATAGCCTGACATCAGTGGCAATTTTGCTGGAGAGACGGCTTTTGCAGGGATATATATTTTTAATTACATGTGTCCTGGGGAAGCAGCCAAGCTGTTTGGAAAGGCAGGATTGGATCCCTTTACATGCTGGAAAATAGTTGCTTGTAACTCTAGACTTCATAGACAACATCTGTAAGGAGCCAAGCAGACTGTTTATCAATGCTGGAGGAATTGAGGACAGCAACTGGACTCTCCCCTGCTGCTATTGCAGATTCAGGGACTTAACATTTATATTTGCCTATTGTGCTTCATTATTATTCATTGAGGAAACCTGGCCAGAGACACCCCCACCCTCCCAGTGACCAAAGCTCTCAGTCCGCCTGTCATCACGGAGTCTAACAGTGTCTCCATGGGAATTTTTTCTGTTTCTCCGTGAGTCTGATTAAAAGAATAACGTTAAGGAATAAAGTGAAGAAAATATGAACAGAATCTGTGTATTTTTTAACATTTACTTTCATGGTGACCAAGAAATGGAGATTAAAAAGAAACCTGAAGCACTGAAGCGTTGATTAGGAGCCATCAGCTCCTTGGAGTAGGAACTCGGCAGAGGGAGCTTGACAGTCACTTTTTGAAGGTTTGTTGCCTTAAGTGTTAGGTGAAAGGGGATTATGTCATTTTCCTATATTTACTTATGCTCCTTTGGAAAGGATTACTAGAGCCCAACTAAGAAACCCATGTAGGTGATGGATTATGGGGTGCCCTGGTTTAAGCTCAGGGTGAACACAGCCCCCATAGGCTGAAAGCACGAGTGGACACTGGCTGGGCGCGTTCACCTCAGCTCTGCACAGGCATTCGGTCAGACTTCCAAGTCATTGTTTTCTTTGTTCGTTTCCTTACTTTTCCAGTTCTTCCTTTGTTCGGTGTATGTGCCAATGTGCACAGAGAAGATCAACATCCCCATCGGCCCGTGCGGCGGCATGTGTCTTTCAGTCAAGAGACGCTGCGAGCCTGTCCTGAAGGAGTTTGGCTTCGCCTGGCCAGAGAGCCTAAACTGCAGTAAATTCCCTCCCCAGAATGACCACAACCATATGTGCATGGAAGGGCCAGGAGATGAAGAGGTGCCCTTACCACATAAGACCCCCATCCAGCCTGGGGAGGAGTGTCACTCCGTGGGAACCAATTCTGACCAGTACATCTGGGTGAAAAGGAGCCTGAACTGTGTGCTCAAGTGCGGCTATGACGCTGGCTTGTACAGCCGCTCGGCCAAGGAGTTCACCGACATCTGGATGGCTGTGTGGGCCAGCCTGTGCTTCATCTCCACTGCCTTCACGGTGCTCACCTTCCTCATTGATTCCTCTAGGTTTTCCTACCCTGAACGCCCCATCATATTTCTCAGTATGTGCTATAATATTTATAGCATTGCTTATATTGTCAGGCTGACGGTGGGCCGGGAAAGGATATCCTGCGATTTTGAAGAGGCGGCAGAACCCGTTCTCATCCAAGAAGGACTTAAGAACACAGGATGTGCAATAATTTTCTTGCTGATGTACTTTTTTGGGATGGCCAGCTCCATCTGGTGGGTTATTCTGACACTCACTTGGTTTTTGGCAGCCGGACTCAAATGGGGTCACGAAGCCATTGAGATGCACAGCTCTTATTTCCACATTGCAGCCTGGGCTATCCCTGCAGTAAAAACCATTGTCATCTTGATTATGAGACTGGTGGATGCAGATGAGCTGACTGGCCTGTGCTATGTAGGCAACCAAAACCTCGATGCCCTCACTGGCTTCGTGGTGGCTCCACTCTTCACTTACTTGGTAATTGGAACCTTGTTCATCGCTGCAGGTTTGGTGGCCTTGTTCAAGATTCGGTCAAATCTGCAAAAGGATGGGACAAAGACAGATAAGTTAGAAAGGCTGATGGTCAAGATTGGGGTCTTTTCAGTACTGTATACAGTTCCCGCAACCTGTGTGATTGCCTGTTATTTCTATGAAATTTCTAACTGGGCACTGTTCCGGTATTCTGCAGATGATTCCAATATGGCGGTGGAGATGCTCAAAATTTTCATGTCTTTGCTAGTGGGCATCACTTCTGGTATGTGGATTTGGTCTGCCAAAACTCTTCACACTTGGCAGAGGTGTTCCAATAGATTGGTGAACTCTGGGAAGGTGAAGAGAGAGAAGAGAGGCAATGGTTGGGTGAAACCTGGGAAAGGCAATGAAACTGTGGTGTAAGGCCAGCCTCCACACTTTCCTCATGTTGAAAGGTGGCATGCCAGCATTTTGATGGAGATACTACCAAAACTTCCTATGCAGTGAATCCAGCAACACGTAAACCCTGCCTCTCATCAACCTGCCATCCTCCACCGCTACCCCACCATCATAAAACCAATGATTTTGCTGCAGACTTTGGAATGATCCAAAATGGAAAAGCCAGGTAGAGGCTTTTGAAGCTGTGAAAAATCAAAATGTTGATGACTTTAGCAGGTTACAGCTTGGAGCATGGAAGTCCTGTCTTGATTCCAAGAAGTTTCAGGGCAATGTTGTGTTTCCCTTCAGGGTGGGATTGAGCTGTGAGTTGATAACTTACAGGGGGACAGATTGATGTTTTTTAACCTTTTTAAATTTAAAGTGCTAACTGGGTCTTTCAGATAACAAAGTGATCTGTAAACACTGGAAAGGCTGGGTTCAGAGAAGTGTTATAAGAGTTTTATAGTTTGGCTGATCTAACATAAACATCTTCTGTGGTGCACTGTCTGCTGTTTAGAATTTGCTGGATTGCACTCCCAAGAGGTGGTGTCAAAATCTTTCAGTGCCTTTGTCATAAAACAGAGTTGTTTGAACAAACAACGGTCCTGTACTAACACACATGAGGTATCCACAGTATTTTTCTTCTCTCTCTCTTCCTCTCTTAAATTTCACCATCTCTATTGTACGCTGCTGCTGTTTTCTTCATTGTACACTAATGACTCAAAAAAAGTATTTTTATAGGATTTTTTGCTCTGCAGCATGCCTAACGAAGGGGAAGGGAAGGGTGATTCACTTTCTCACAATCGCTTAATTCAGAGGAAAATAAGATTTTACAACATTACCTTACTGACCCCAGAGACCTTTTTTTGCGTTGAGCAATGAAGACTTAATATATTTTACTCTGTGTGATTGCATCTATGCAGACGCCAGTCTGGTAGAGCTGAAATGTTAAATTTCTTGGCAACTTTGCATTCACACAGATTAACTGTGTAATTTGTGTGTCGATTACAATTAAAAGCACATTCTTGGACCATGACATAGTATACTCAACTGACTTTAAAACTGTGGTCAACTTGTGTTCTCAGAGTGATAGTGCCTTGTTTCCTTTAGCATAAGAATGTTATCAGAGCCTGGTCTACTTACCACAATGGAGTCTCACTCAGTTTTGTAAAGGGAGCTGAGGACAGCTAATCCAACTACTTGGTGCATAATTGTTTCCTAGTAATTGGCAAAGGCTCCTTATAAGATTTCATTGGAGTCAGTGTGGCCTGCAGTATTTATATGGTGCTTAATGAATCTCCAGAATGCCAGCCAGGAGCTTGATTGGTTAGCAGGGAATAAAGTGTAGACCATATGAAATGAACTGCAAACTCGCAGCATAGGTCTTAATTGCCTTTTGCGGAGGTATCCAAAGCTTTTAAAATTTATGCTTTACGTTCGTCTCAAGGGGGTACCCCCTAGCAGCTCTCAGAAAGTTGCAGTTGTTTTAAAATTGTAACTGGACTTTGTCTTAACCAGCTTTAGGCTTTCTAATCACCACATCTCTGGGACAAATTGTTGACAGTGTCTCAGGTTGTTCTCCTTATGACTTACACCTGTCTTTGCTCTGCAGTGACTCATTATTGATTCCTGCCCTTTAAAAAAAAAATAGGTAAATTTTTTTTCACCTGTTGTTTATGGAGAAACATTTCCAGGGACTCAAAATCCACAAATCTAGACATAAACATCCTTTTTTGGGAGGGGAGTATATTTGAGCTTTATGCATATAATTTAACATTTTCCTTCCTTTCTTTTTCTCTGTGTGGTTCCTGAATTAAGATGCATTGTATGTTTTGGAAAGGGAGAGAGTCTTGGGGCTTTGGAAACAGAACCAAGTCGATCAGGTGGCCTTTGCTGCTCCAGGCAGGCTGAGTACCTTGATTGGAGTCAAGGCCTGGAGCATGAGAACTGATCCCCACAAGGACCATTTGCACTCCATCTGAGGAGGCTGTGTTGCTAAAGAAATGTACGATGTATGATGTGAGCTCATGTATGATGTGAGCTCGCTATGCTGCCTTCAGATAGTTCCCAGAGCTCTTTGGGACCCTGAGCATGCACCCAGGGGCAAAGCCTGCCCTTACTCACGCTCTGCTGTGGTGTCTTGGGAGTTGTGCAGGGAAGGGAAGAGCCTGGCTTACTGTGGGACCACAGGGATTTGTCATGCAGTTTTCTTCGCAGTGCTTCAGGGGTTGTGTAAGCAAGGTGGTACCCAGAGGAGGGCTGCGGAGTAGATGCTCACTGTCAGTGATTGAATCACTGTAGCCGCAGTGAAAGAGTACTTACTTACCTGAGTGCTGGAGCTAACACTTGGACAATGTTTGGTGCTGAATGTGGCTGTTCCTGTAGACCTCTTGCCTCCTTAAGGGAAGATGTGTTTGCTCAGAAGGGGCTCTTGGTATAGACCGGATCGTCAGCTTTAGCAATGCCACCTGGTTGTAGGCCTTTCTATTCACATTCCAGACAATGGAGAGTGTTTACGGTTTCAGGAAAGGAACTTGTGGTTGAGGGATCAGTTACCAGTGACCTTCAAGCAACTCCATCACCTTTTATAATTGGTATTTGCTCTGGGTTTGTTTTCTTTAACTGAAGCATCAGCACACATATTCAGTGTGTAAAGCCCCATGGTGGTTGCTGTGGGTATGTCATGGGAGAGGAAACTGGTTTTCTAACTGCCCTAGGTTAGGGATATACCTGAGTCTGCTGAACTTCACTGTTGAATTTGTGATGAAGCAGAGTGCCCTTAAATTCCCATCTGTTTCACTGTCTCCCTCCCCTGCATCTCTTCTCAAGTCTCTAAGACATCTCTTGTCCCTTCCTAGAGTTCCTTCAGGTAAATTACTGGAGTTTTGCCTGAATGCCGGAGGCCTGCTTCATGATTATGTCAAAATGCCCGAGGACGATGATGAGAACAGATTGTGAGCTCGTGACCGCCTACAGCTTCTGTGTCTTTGTTGGACAGGCTGTTACAGGCTGGGGATGTTCCATGTGACTTGTGTTAGGTGTGTTTGAGGTCAGTATCCTGCTAGGAAAAAAAATGAGGGTTGTTTTTCTGAAATCTAGAAAAATAGTATGAGCACAGCTTTCTGCAGAATTCCCTTGACCCCCAGAGAGCCTATGAATCAGGGCCCAAGGGCATCTCTGCCCAACTTTCTCTTGGGCAGATTCTCTTCTGCTTCCTAAAGGCCAAACCTCAGGGCAAGGGAACTGGAGGCCGGGTGGAACTGGCCAGAAGCATCTGGTTGAGCGACTTGGTTGATTCATATCCTTTTTCCTTTATGGAGGCCCGTTTCCTGCTCTGAGACTGCCTCTGAGCTGGCAGCCTGCTCGGAGGCCTGAAACCGGAGAAGCGGTGACACTTTTTGTTTCCTTAAGATATTCTCATGCTTGACTTTCTTGCGTCACTCACCTGTGTTCTCTAAACCTAGAATCTGGCAAATTCTGCATATTGTGTTGGGAACCAAGCTGGACCTTGAGGACAGGACAATGAATTCAGGAAGCTCAGCCCTGGAGGTGCAGGCTCAGTGCAAAGGGATTTCTGTAGGATGGCGCAGCCTTTGGTTGTTAGTGAGATAGTCGGAGGGCAGGTTCTGCAAGAAACCTCTTAACACTCACTCTCTGCCCTGCACATCATCCTGGGATGGAGGTCTTGTCAATGGGTATTGTTCAGTATGGAGTCAGTTGGACTCTTGACAATTATTTTTGTTCCTTTATTGTGTTTGAGTTCAGAGTCCCCGTCTGAGTTTGCATCGTATCTGGCAAAGGACCTGGGTTATCATTTTTACTCTAGGGCTAGGTCACGGATCTTGGAAACTCTTCAGAGAGTATTTTGTTCCTATCAAGGATCAGATTCAAGAGCCTTTACTAAAGGATCTGGTTTCACGGTAGCCTGGATGGCGCTCTCTGCGGCTGCATCTTGCCCTGTGCATGTGCAGGAAGGGCACACTTGGTGATATCGGGAGGGAGCTGACCCGTGGGTTCCCATGACATGCCTCATCCCCTTGGTAAGCTCAGTTGCCCTCATAGTAGCCTGCTTCTGTTCCTGATTCACCCCTTTTCTCTCTTGTTTGTAACAGCAAATCCCCAGTGTTCACCCAGGCAATTTATAGAGAACCTTTTTGTGTTCTTGTATGAGCCATGTCTTAAAGCTTTTGTACCTCGTTAATCTGCAAGATTCAGTACATGACCACTGTCATCGCAGAAGGCTTCTGGAAGAGGGGCAGGAGGAGCTCTGCCCCTAGAAGGTTGGGTTCAGCTTCTCTCCCAGGTAGTGAACGCTTCCAAATCCTGTTCATTGGCTCAGGCCCTGACTTCCCTGGGGGTCAGGAGAAGTAAGCTGCTTTCTAGGTCTCAATGGGGCACACAGCTGGTCCTGGATTTTTCCTACCTCACAGGGATGTTGTGAGGCTTTAGAAGATCTAAGGATGGAGGCCCCTTGAATTCTTCATAAGGAAAGTGGAATAAATATCCATGAAAAGAGAAAATGTGACTTGCCCTGCCTGGGCAGTAGTGGACATTGGTTGTTCTTGGGCTTTTGTTGGATCATCTGCTACGCCACAGCTCCAGGAACCTGGAGATCAACCTGGGGGACTGTCAGGTATTTGACACAGAGGTACCAGGCAAACTCCTGCTACACCTGCCCTGAATGAATTGATGAACCATAAAGGAAATGGACCCTGCTTTTTAGGATGTACAAAAGTATGTCTGCATTGATGTCTGTACTGTATAAATTTCTAATTTATCACTGTATAAAAAAACTTTGCTATTTAATTTTTGTATTAAAGGAAAATAAACTGTTGTTTATTAAGCAGTGTGTGCTTTGGTGCATATTTGAAGGTGTGTGATAGCCAACGGGCGGTGCACATCCTCAGCCCACATCCTTGGCGATGACAAGCAGAGGATCCAGTTGGCAGGGCGATGGAGAGCTGTGATTTCTAAGTCCCTCTGTTGCTTTCCTGTTGGTCCTTTCTCCTGCCTCTGGAATTTCTCCTGGGCCATCTAACTCCCACAAACCAGAGTCAACAGATTTTATCATTACTGTGGTCATCAGTAACTCAAGTAAGTCATGATCATGTGATGCCTGAGGCATGACCACAGTTCTGGAGCTGTTACCCTGGTGACCTACTTTCTAGCATTTCCAATTTGGGAGACCATCTCTACCTTCCAAGTCCCTTTGACTTCATCTGATGGCCTACAAATACCAATATGGTAGAGCTTCAGACCTCTCAAAAGTGGAGATGGGTCTTTTGTTTCATTTTGTCTTTTTTACATCAGGTTTTCTTTTTTATACAAATATTTATTTTTATTTGAAAGGCAGATTCACAAAGAGGAGATGAGATCTTCCATCTGTTGTTCACTACTCAAATGGTCATAGATAGCCAGGACAAAAATCAGTATCCCTGTGGGGTTCCAGCACTACAGGCAGACGATTAGCTTTCTATACTACAGCTCTGGCTTCAGGTTTTCTTGATTTCTTCTTACACAGTGATTCTGTTTTATGTAACAGATACATCAATTAGTCAAGAGAATGTCTTCTGTAGCTCATTTTATGTGTTGGGTGGTCTGTATCCTCATAACCAGAAAAATCATTGGACAAAGCAAATTCAAAACAACTACCAGAACACTGTAACAGAAGTCAATAATATTACCACACAGAGGGAAAGAGCAACTGTCATGGAGTGTCTGGATGTTCCACATGAGCCCTCTTGGTTTGCTTTTTTAAAAATTTTATTGGAAAGGCAGATATACAGAGAGGAAGAGAAACCGAGAGGAAG